TTAGATTTATGAAAGATTAGCATATCTTGACTTGGAAAAACTTCATATAATAAAAGTTTTGTTTCTTATTAACATAAATTATAGTTATAAGAAATATTTTACTCATTGTCTGTTTTCTTTTATTATTTCTTTCTTTCTTTACTTATTGAGATAGACTCTCACTCTTTTGCCCAGGCTGGAGTGCCATGGTATGATCCTGGCTCACTGCAACCTCTGTCTCTTGGGTTCAAGCAATTCTCCTGCCTCAGCCTCCTGAATAGCTGGGACTACAGGCATGTGCCACCACGCCCGGCTAATTTTTGTGTTTTTAGTAGAGACGAGGTTTCACCATGTTAGCCAGGCTGATCTCTAACTCCTGACCTTAGGTGAGCCACCTGCCTCGAACTCCCATAGTGCTAGGATTACAGGCGCGAGCCACCATGCCTGGCTTGCTTTCTTATTTCAGCTTTTCATTATGACAGTGTTTAAACTTTGAAGAAAGTCAAAATAATAGTACAATAAACATCCATATACCCTCTGTCTAGATCAATTATTTACATTTTGCTATATGTGGTTTAGCTATTCTCTCTATGCATTTAAATTTTTGGAACTCTTACAACACTTTGATCACACCTAACAAAATTTATCAACAATTGTATAATGTCATCTAATGTCTTGTGCATAGTCAAACTGACCCAGTATATGTAGAATAGTATTTCCATGGAACAGCTACTACAGAAGATGTGGAGATTCTATTCAGGGGTCTCAATCTTGGTTTATGCAACAGAACCATCTGGGACTATATTTTTAACCAGTGCTGGAGATTGAAATCAAAATTCTTCAAGGAAACCGATAAAGAAGAAGTTCTTCTGATGGGGAGGTCATAGATCCCAGGTCTTCTTGGAGGTGGAATTGGGATTTGGGGACTACAGGATCAGCTTAATGGCAAAACTTGGCCAAAGCAGAGGTCTTATTGCTTCAGGGACTGACCATGTGGGGAAAGATGAATGAGGAGAGACTTTTGTCACAAGCATTTGTGTCATGGGACCCAGGGGTAAGCCATGCATCCCAGAAGAGAGGGAGAGTGAAGACCCTAGCCCTGTCTCTGATGCCCACTGTTTCCTAGGGTCAGAGGAGAGGAGCGGCATGAGGGGAGGGTGAGAGTTAGATGGCCCCTCCCCAGACTGAGAAGCTTGACATGCCGGCTCAGCCCAGCCTATACTGTGTGTAGGATCCTACAGAAAGCAGAGAGGTGGGAGTCAGGGAGGGCATAGCATTTTTAAATGGGAAATTTTCCTGCAAGTTAGCAAACTTATGCAGTGACAGACTACTAAGGGGTCCCTGGTACATGAGCAGTGGCAGGGCAGAAAGAAGGCAGGTTGGTGACTTCCAGCATGGCGTTGCTGCCACAATTTGTCCAGCACAAAGAAAGTGAGTAGTGGGCTAACGGCACTTCAGGAGATGCGCTTTGGGTGTTGGGGACTGAGAGAGGGGGCAGTTGTGGTGCCCACGTCCCACAGGCTCTGAACAAAGCCTTCTCATGAGTACAGGATTGTCACATGTTTTCTGTAACCAGGGCCTGGGCGTGCTCATCTATTCCCTGTGCCCTGTAGCTGACGTTTCCAAGGCTCAGTCTTGTTTCTGATGCCCTCTGGGTAAAACAACGGCAGTTTAGTCTGAAGTTACCCGAATCGTGCATTGCCAGGAGAGTTCACTTCATTTAGAAATTGGAACCACCACGGTTTTCAACGGACGCTTAATGAACTGGGGTCTGCAAAATAGGCAATAAACTTCCTGGCCTGCTAACTGAGTATTGTCTCTCTTGTGCTAACTGCAGTAATGTGTTTTATTTTCCCACTGTTTATTAGCTTCCAGCTAAAGGCCAGGCTATGTGAGCCCCCCATGGCCTTCCTTTTGGGAATGGTGGAACTCGGCTGCACATTCACCTTCTGAGCTCTTCAAATGTCTTCCAACTCTGTTCCAATGGTAGAGAGAAAATGATTGAAAATGAGATTTCCACTGTGGCAGTGGTTTGCTGTCTTCCATTGTAGAATGCAATCTTATTTTTTATCTTTTTGGATTTATATTAATTTAGATTATATAAGCTAGCAGGGTGTTTTTTAATGAGTTTGGTAATGCCAAACCTAAAAGAGTTAAAATCCCCCTGTTATCACATATAACTCAGAGAAAGGTAGGGGAGGACCCACAGAGAGATGGGGATGCGTTTGATTTCTGCTTAGTTTCCAAAGTGTGGCTTCCTTTTGAAATGCTTTTGCCTTTGGTTTGAAGTCATCAGTCATTTGTTAATCAGTTGGTAAAATTTAGTATTTGTAGCAGAGGGAAGAGAGAGGGAGAAAGAGAGAGAGAGGTGACGTAGGTGTCAGGCATCAGGATCTTGGGGTATCAGTCTCAGTTTAACTATTTCTGAAGCCACCCACTCTGAGGCTCAGCTCCCTCAAATCTATCTTTTTTAACCTTGAATATCTTGCTCCAGACCTGGGACTCCATCAGCACAAATTAGCTCTTCAAAATCAGAATATTGCCTTTTTTTATTGGATTTGCTGAGATGGTCAATGCAAATTCCATACTCCCCACTTAGAACTATAATCTGAGTTTTGCATTTAACCCTAATTAGAAGGAAACACTATGAATAAATGGAACCTGTAAATTATATCTACCATAGCCAGGCTATGGGCGAAAACTTGTTATTTTTCAAGTTTGCCTGCTAATTGTCTTATGGACAAATCCCAATTCTCCCATATTTGGAATATGTGAAAAACTAAAGCATGGAAAATCGAAGTGCTTCAGCACCTCTCTAGATGACCTGAAACTACTAGCATATGAGCTGTCCATCCATCCATCCATCTATCCATCCATCCATCCATCCCTCCATCCCTCCATCCATCCATTTAGTCATTCTTTTGACTTCATTTGAATAAATGGATGGACAGATCAATGGCTGGATGGACAGACAGCTCACATGCGACTGTAAGCATCTACTGTATTTTTTTCTTTTTCTTTTCTTTTTTTTCCTTTTTTTTAGACGGAATCTTACTCTGTCCCCTAGGCTGGAGTGCAGTGGCATAATCTCGGTTCACTGCAACCTCTGTCTTTTAGGCTCAAGCAATTCTTCTGCCTCAGCCTCCTGAGTAGCTGCGACTACAGGCATGTGCCACCATGCCCAGCTAATTTTTTGTATTTTTAGCAGAGACAAGGTTTCACCATGTTGGCTTGGCTGGTCTTGAACCTCTGGTTATCTGCCTACCTCGGCCTCCCAAAGTGTGGGATTACAGAAGTGAGCCACAGTGCCTGGCCAGTATATACTACATTAACCATAATTCCTGCTTCTGTAAACTTGATGCTCTCACATCTGCCTTGCATTCCTATGCTGTGCACACCTTGTTCTGGATAACCCACTAATACTCCTGAGTCACCTTGCCTGGGCCTCCGGCCTCCCTTGTTGCCTCCTCTGGGGAGTGTGCTTTGAAAACCCAAGCCGGCCAATCTAGAATCCACACCTCCATCTACCCGCTTATTGGGTTCTCACACTCAAAAGAGGAGGCAAGAGCTGACACAGGTGAACAATTTAGAGGTGGAGGGAATATTGGAACTGAATGTTTCTCTTACCTCTGTGAATTAAGGGGCTAGTGGAGGCTGAAGGTGTAAGACAGCAGTGCAGGGCATGTTGAGGGCCCTGTGAAGAGGGGAACACACAGCACACAGGCAAAGCATGTGTTTCATCTTATTGAGCATGTGCCGAGTTACATTTTGCCCCCATGGAGCTGTCAGTCTGGCAGGGAGGCAGGAAGCCTCACCCCCAGCAATGAGAACAAAGCAGAATGGAGAATGTGCTCCAACAACTAACTGTGAGCATCGCAGTGGGGGGCCAGGAGTTTTCCAGGGGACATGGACTTTGAGTTGTCTTAATGGATGTAGGGAGGACAACAGACTGAGAATAAAAGGGGACCGATCCTTTGGTTGCAAATATGGCAAGCAAAAATGTCAACTCCCCTCAGCAGAAAAATAAAAGTAAATCCAAGAGATGCTGGTAGAGGGTGAGGTTGAATTTAAAATGGTGCCTGCTGCTTTTTCTCCATCTTGGAGCGTGGAGAGCCTCGGCAGCTTCTGAACAGCGATGAGCGTGTTTCTAATTACCACATCAAGCCTTTGATCTGCTATAATTGTTTGTTTCCCCCTGCAAACACAAATTTGACTCACTGGTGCTGTGTTTAGCCAGCTGCTCCACTTGGAGGTGCTCGGCAGTGGGCCATGCATGTTTCCCAAATGAGATACAAATGCCCTGGTTTCCGTTCAGCCCTGCACATATTGAGCTCCTACTATGTGCTTAGTGATGGGGAGGGCTGAAACTGATGGGGAGGCTCTCTGTCTGGGGTTGCCTTGAATGCCTCTGAGTCATTCTCTTTCCACCCTGTCCCACTCCCAGCCCCCAGGAGATTCTGGAAGAAGACAGAAGAGAGTAGGATAAAATTCTGGTCAAATCAGAACCCAATATACAGAAATGTGAACATCTTGTAGGTTGGTCAAAACTGGAGACTGCCAATTGTTAAAATAAGCTTTCTGGGTAGGTCTCATGGGATTTACAGTTTCAACTCTGCATTTGAAGCTTGTGCATCTCTCGTATAAAACCCTCGGCAATCATCAGATGAAGATGCCTGTGGCTCACCCGACTGGCAGGAGACAGTCATGCCAAAACAAAACGGTCTGAAAATACAGGCTTGTGAATTTGTAGAATTGAAAAATACTCTTTTTAAGGTATAATCTACATATAATTCATCAATTTCAAGTGTATAATTCAATGATTTTTATTTATTTAAAAAAATTTTTTTAAATCCTTTTATAATTCTTTTTTAACAAACAGCCCCAGGAATGGGGGACCAGGAGAAGGGGGAGGAGGGGAAGTGAGGCCCCAGTCCCAAAACCCCTCCCTACCCACCCCTTTCCCCCTTATATATTTATAATCTATATACAAGCCCCGGGAGTTGGGGGCAAGAGGAACTCCCTCAGCAGGGTGGGGGAAACCCAGGCTCCTTGTCCCCTTGGGACCCAGGCTCCTCTGCCCGTCGCGAAGCCCCTTCTCAAGAAGGTGGCCCTGTCCGCTACCAAGACTTAGGTATCCAGCGCAGGGCATCTGATGGGGAGGCCTCCTGGTAAAGGTCAATGCGCTGGGTGTGGAAGACTCCACTGTAAGTGGAAGGCGTGGCCTTGAGATGGGAATTGAGGCCAGAGAAGGACCTTCCAGTTGGGGAAGTACGTGATGACCCCGGTCCCCCGAGGTTGCTGCTCAGTTTTTGATAATCCTGGAACGGCTTTAGTTCCACTGGATGCAGCTCTGCTCACCCCAAGCTAGCATCAGGAAGGGCCTGGCAGGTGAAGGCAGCACCCGAGGAGCAGTAGCAGGTGGGGGCCACACAGCCAGGCTGGGGGGCTGCAGAGCAGGGCCCACAGGTAACAGAGAAAGGGGAGGTGGGGCAGGAGGTGGTGCTGGTGGCAGGGAGCCAAAATTCACCACAGGCAGCTGTGAGTCTATCATGGGTAGAAGCATCTGTTGGGCAGGAGCCCCTGAAGGGAGAAAGCCACTTTGGCCACCAGGCTGCAGAGGAGAATAAAAATCCGAAGGGGATGGCAGATCCTGGTGTACCTGAAGCAACTACATGTCGGGCAAAGGACTGGGGCAGAAAGCTGTAGAGTAGAGGAAGGAAGGTGGAGGGTGGAGAACTCCTCCAGCCAGCAACTTCCCTAGCTCTGCAGCTTGTAGTGTGGAGAAATCTAGAAACTCACTCTTGAGAGCTACCCCAGAGAGTAGTTGAGGGAGGGGCTGGGCCAGGGGGTAGGTATAGGGGCTGTGATCTGTAAGGATGCAGTGAGGGTGTCCCAGGGCAGAAGCCCCCACTGTTTGGATGCAATTGAGAGTCCATGGCTCCCCCAGAGACCTGAGAACTGGAAGGTCCAGGGCTTCCATAGAAGACCTCAGGATATAGGCGCTGGCCTGAGGAGCTGGGCTCTGTGCCACAGTGCCCAGAACCCAGGTTCTTGGATTGTGGCTCAGCAGAGGCTGCAGCACTGGGAAGCAGCTCCCAGTCTCGGGATATAGGAATGGCCTCAGTGACTGATACTGTTAGCTCCTTCTCTGCTTTTAAGGTGTCTCCTACCACGAGGCGTAAGTCTGAGTCCTTGCCACTAGTGCCAAACTGGACAGGGGGGCCAGGTCGATGGGATGGCGGAATGGGGACAGGCTCTGGTACTGTGTCTGTACGCTGTGATCGTTCTGTGCCAATGAGGCCAGGGGGCAGTGGCTGCTCCTGGGGCAGCTCCTTTCTGTCCCCATTGTTGGGGGCAGGTGGTGGTCTCCTAGGAGGTTCAGAGCCAGGTGGACCCTCACAAGGAATAGCATTCAGGGGTGAGGGCCTCCAGGCCTCTTGGGAGGTCCCTCTGCTGCCCCCTTGAGCCCTCCATCAGGGGAACTTTGCTGGCTGCAGGGATCTGATGACACCTGAGAATCCCCACTCAGGTCCACCCCACTGTCAGACTGACTCATCTCCGTGCCACACATCATCAAAAGGACTCAGGGACTCCATCCAAGGCTCCATGGAGCTGGGCCGGTAACTCTTTGGCTAGTGGCAGTATGTAAACGGTTCTAGATGCGAGGGGTCAGGGCCTCCGTGCCTGTATCTCTGGATTCTGCCTGAGGGCCTGGGCCCTCAGGCTTGGAGGCCAAGAATCCAGAGCTATGGCAAAGATTCCTCCTGTAGCAGCTCTGGTTTTCTGGGAGGCCGCTCCCGACGTTTAGGGGGAAAGGGACTAACCCGGCTGGGATCCTGGAGAGTCCCACCTACCCCTCTCACCATTGGCCCTGGCTCCTCAAAGTGGGTCTCAGAGGCCACTGTTGGCTCTCTGGGGCTCATATTGGGTTGTGGCCCTAGGAGAGGGGCCCTGAGGGGGTTGGGGAGGCCCAGGCTTGTGTCTTGGGTGCCCCCCTGGTGCAGTTACACTCCCTTGGCGGCTACTAAGCTGGGCCAGAGCCTGTTGGATGCCAGCAGGGTTGCTATGGATAACTTGGTCCAGGTGGAAGACAGCAGAACTGCTGGGAGGTGGGGGAGGCAGGGGAAGTCCCGGGGGAGGCAGGGGAAGTCCCGGGGGACGCTCCTCTGGAGGATGACTTCGGTTCTTGGGAGAGGGCCAGCTCCTCTTGTTGCCTCGTCCTGGCCCATTCCTTCCTCCCGGACTGCCTCCACCTCCTCCATTGCTGCTGCTGCTGCTGCCAGCCTTGCCCCCTGGGCCAGGGCTCTGGTTCTGCTGTTCCATTCGTGGCCGCTGACTTAAGAAGCTCTGTTTACTCAAATCCTTGGCTGATTTTCCTGGTATGCCTCCAGCTCTACCACCTCCCCCAGGAGTCCCCACAGCTTTGGGTGTTAGCAGTGCTGGTGGGGGTGCCTCTTTGTCCCCCCCTGGTGCTCGTTGGCAAAGTCGCTGCTCTCTGATGCAGTCTCCTATTCCTCATTGGCTTGGTCCAAGTTCTGGTTTGACAGATCAGGAGACTTGGCAGCTGCCGGGCGCGGTGGTGGGGCCACTGTGACTGTTGTGAGAGCCTCCTCGGGTCCAGGTGTTGAGGCTTCGCTCCGTGTCTCGCTGGCAGTGCGTCCTCGGGGAGCAGGAGGGTGGTTTGGTCCCCTTGTTCCACCTCCACGCCCATCGTCTCCTTGGAACTCTCTGTAACTGCGGAACTCCCGGCTTCGGGCTCCCCGCCCCCGTCCCCCATAGGTCCCCCGAAAACCCCTCCCTCTGGCAAAATACTCACCTCGGCCCCAACCCCCAGCAAGAGTAAGGACCCACTCTTTCATAGGAATAGTCCCTCCGAAGCCTTGGGGCAGGGGAAAGATTCTCACTGGGTGGGGTATCTTTGGGGCCCCCTAGCTTTCTCTTGGCTATTTTGAGTGGGTCTGGCTTTGGGGCTTTGGGGGTTCCATCCCCCTGTTCGAGGGGCTTGCGAGGCAGCTCTTCGACTTTTGTAGGTGGTGGAGGTTTCTTCATAGGCCCAGCCCGGCGGGATGGGGCCCCTGGCTCCTCTGGAGGGATTCCACGACGACTGCTGCCTGGACGAGGGCCCCAGTGGGTCGTGCGACCCTCTCTGCGTGGTGGTGGGGGACCCTGGCCTCCACTTCCGACTCCGCAGGCAGGCTTTCGGCCTGCTTCTGGCCCTGTCAGCTGTGCAGTCTCCTCCTTAGGGGACTCCTTCTTGGGTGGTGGAGTTTGTATCTTCGACACTTCATCACTGCCTGGGGGCCAGGGGAGTGGACGGGGCCCAGAGGGAGCTGGTTCCTCCAGAGAAAAGCGAGATTGGGGTCCCGGGGCTCCATTCTCAGGAAAGCCTGGATAACTGGCCAGATACGGTGGGGGGTGGGGGAGGTACTGGAGGAGTCTCACTCCTCATCCCCTTGTCTTCCTCATCCGCGGCCTAGCTCAATGGTGAGGTAAGTGGGCAGGAGTCGGTGGATGTGGTGGTGAAGACATCTCCTTCCCAGGCCAACTTTGGATCCACTGGTGGAGTGCCCCGTTCCTGTAACATGGGGGGTGCATGACGATCAAATGGCTCTGAGCTTGAGCCCTCACTGTCTGAGCGCTCTCGGGGAACTAGGCCAGAGGGACGCACTCCAGGAGGGTAGAAGTCTAGAGGGGGCCGACCCTGGAGGAGCCGGGGGTCCACATAAGGAGGAATCATCATCCATCGGGGATCAAAGTTCATTGGAGGCATAGGTGGGGGCCGGACCAGAGCACCTGGGAACAGGGCCTTGGGGGGCGGTGGAGGAGCCTGTGGAGCTGGCACAGCCCCCAGGGTCACAGGCTGTGGTGGTGATGGGGGAACTGGGGTAGGAGGGGCAGAGCTCTGTTGATGCTGCTGCTGCTGCTGCTGCTGCTGCTGCTGCTGCTGCCACTGGAAACGAGGAAGCAATGACTTCTGATATTTGGGGTAGCCCAAGCCCTGACTAGGGGGCTGGCGGGGGGGGGGAACCAATACCATCACCCTTGGGTTCCACCTTTGGAGCTGGGGGTGTGGTAGGAGGAGGGACCTCTTCTGGCGGTTCAGGACTCTCTTTTGAGTGCAGTTGCGGTTCCACTGGGCTGGCTTTGAAGCTGCGCTGCTGGTGCTACTGGTACTCCCACCACCACTCACCAGAGTGGGAGCCGAAGCCACACCTGGAGTAGGAATAGATTGGGCAGGAGGGGTCTGTGCTGGCTCTTCAGGTTCTTTCTCTGGTGCTGGGGCTGATGCCAGTGGTGGAGCTGGAGGTGCAGTGAGTTCTTTGGGGACTGCAGGTGGTGGAGCTGGGGTAGAAGGGGCAGCAGGTGGGGGAGCAGGCTCTGCTTTGAGTCGCTTGTCAGGTGCCCCAAACTTTTCATCAAGCCACTTGAGCTTCTCAGCACAGGCTGCCCGGCGCTCTTCCTGCATGTGCCGCTCCTCTTTTTCTCACGGTCGTCGGGTGTGCTCCACTGCCAGGGAAATCTCAGATGATGACTGCTTTCGTCGCTGCCGCCATGCTTCATCCTCATCTTCAGGTGCTGGGAGCTTGCAGGGAGGGCCCCCACGATCTGGATAGTCCCCAGGGGGGCCCCAGTTCCTGGCGGGGCCCCGGTGAGGTGGGGGTGGGGGAGGCTTTGGGGCAGGAGGTCCTGGGTCTGTCTCTGGAGGCTGAGAGGTTTCTGCCCAGGCTGTCTTAGGAGGGGCGGTTCAGTGCCGGGAGAGTTGCCCTTTTTGCCATCTGCTTCAGGGGGCCGTTCCTCACCAGAAGCTGACTGGGAATCCTTGTGGCCCTCAGCTCCCTCCTCATCAGAGTCTCGGCCATCTTCCTCATCGCTGAACTTGAGCTTTTCAGTGTAGTCAACCTCTTCGTGGGCCCCTGCCCAACCATCATCATTCTCTCGATCCAATTGATCAAACTCTTTGAGATTATCCTCTTTGAGAATAGAGGGATGACCCACAGGCTCTACTAGGCGTATTGGTGGCCCTGACCCTCGGGGGCCCGCCACATGGGGAAAACGGCTGGGCCCATCAGGAGTTGGGTATCGGTAAGGCCCCTGGGGTCCATAGGGCGGAGGGAATGGGAGATATGGAGGATACATGAAAGGCGGCATCATTCCGCGGTAGGGAGGGAACTGGGGTGGGCCTGAAGGCTGCAGCGCCCCCTGGGGATCATGACCATGATGAAGTTTGGAGTCCGGACCCTCCAGCTCATCAGAGCCAAGCCCACCTCCGTCCCTCCAAGTTGTAGAATTTTGGGGGCAGAGGCTTGGTCCGGGCCCAGACGACTATTTGGCAGACTCCCTCTCCTTGGCAGCCTTGTTCTGGTCGCCAGCCGCCTGCTGGGTCAGAAATTCCTCTCGAGAGAATCGCGACAGTAGGCTTGATGCCCTTCCACCATCTCCATGTGCTCCATAGCTGACGCTGACTTGTGCCCAGGACTTTACCCCGCTTGCAACCGAAGGAGTGTTCTCCGGGGCTGCTGGGGGTCGTTTCGGCTGGTTGGAGGCAGGCGTCGGTGGAGCCTGCAGTGGCTGCGATTCCGGTGGCTGAGCGGTTGAGGCATCGGAACTCTTGGGGTCGGACTGCTCCTGTTTGCTTGCCTATCCTGTTCCGTCTTTCGGCACTAGTGAGACATTGGGGTCATTGCCTTTGTTCTCGGCTTTCAGGCTTGGAAGGTTGGCTGGAGGTGGCATACGCCTGGCAATGGCAACTTTGCTGAGACTCTGCAGGCCATGGCGAGGGACAACAGCCGGTTTCTGGATCTCTAAGGACTTGCCCTTATATGTGTCAAACAGGTTGAGCGAGGAATACTTGTTTCCATCATTTCCCTTGGCAGTCGGCCCCCAGCGATCTGACATTGCTCTGGAAGCTCATTGAGTATGTTGGGTCCTGCAGGCACCTCCTCCAAAACGTGCCGGAGCCTGGCCGGGTGTGCGGGGATCCGGGACCAGGACCTAGGGGCTCCCAGGGACTGGATGGTGGTGGGGCAGAGGAGGATGGCGGTGGATGGCGCCGGGTTCGGCTCCTTCCGTCTCCCTAGCTCACTTCGCGGCTGCTCCGACTAATTCAATGATTTTTAAAGTAAATTTATCAAATTGTGCAACCATGACCATAAATCAACTTTCAGACATTTCTGTCACCTGATAATGTCTCTCATGCACATTTACTCTTAATCCCTAGTTCTCCCTCTCTGCAGGCAGACAACCACTAATTTACTTTGTCTTCATAGATTTACCTCTTCTGGATATTTTATGTAAATTGAATCATACAATATGCAGTCTCTTGTGTCTGCTTCTTTTACTTAGCACATGTCTTTGTGGTTCATCCATGTCTCATGGTAGTTTGACATACTGTTTTACATATGTAGTTTTACATATCTGTAGTCTGTTTCCTTTCACTGTGGAATACTATGCCATTGTATAGATATACTACCTACTCTCCAGCTGATGGAGATTTGAGTTGCTTTCAGTTGTGGGTTATTAAGACTAGTGTAGCTATGGCTATCGTTGTGTAAGTCTTTGTGTGGGAGAAAGACTTAAAATATGAAATAGAAGACTCTCCTTGATCCTTAATTATTCAGAATGCTACATCAGCAGAAAAAATTTTATTTGCAGGCCAGATTTTTATGTGCAAAGCACAGTGGTGGGAGCCATCAGATGAATGCAAATGAAAGAAGACTAAGCCTATTTATTTATTTTTTGAAACGAAGTCTCACTCTGTCACTCAGGCTGGAGTGCAATGGCACAATCTCGCTCACTGCAGCCACCTCCTGGGTTTAAGCAATTCTGCTGCCTCAGCCTCCTGAGTAGCTGGAATTACAGCCATGTGCCACCATGCCCGGCTAATTTTTGTATTTTTAGTAGAGATGGGGTTTCACCATGTTGGTCAGGCTGGACGTGAACTCCTGATCTTGTGATCCACCCGCCTCGGCCTCCCAAAGTGCTAGGATTACAGGGGTAAACCACTGCGGCTGGCCGGGGCCTTCGTTTTTAAAGAAACTCAATGAAGCCCTTGAGGCAGAATATGACTGTTTACATGAGGTTGTTTCCGAATGTCAGGTACTTGATTCCTGGGTATCTGATCACTCTGAATTTTTAGTTTGCAAGTGATGAAAACCCAACTTGGCTAAACCTCAATAAAAGAACCACAATAAAAAAGGGAATTTATTGGCTAACATAATGAAATGTCCATGGGGTAAAGCTAACTTCAGGTGTGGCTTGATCCAGAGGCTCAAGAGACATTATAGTTCTTGGTTTCTTCCCAACTTGTGTCTTAATTCAAAGGCTGTATGTGCTGGTGAGATGGCTGGAAGCCCCTCTTCTCGGGTTCAAGTTCATTTGCTAAATATCTGTTTCACATCTGTGTTTATGTGTGTGTTGTATTTGTGTGTTTTGTGTGTATGTGTAAGAGTATATGTGTTTGTGTATGAGTTTGTGGCTGTGTGTTTGTGTTGTGTGTATGAGTAGGTGTTTGTGTATGAGTTTGTGGCTGTGTGTTTGTGTTGTGTATATATGAGTGGGTGTGTGTTTATGTATGAGTTTGTGGCTGTATTTGTGTTGTGTGTATGTATGAGTGGGTGTGTGTTTGTATATGAGTTTGTGACTGAATGTTTGTGTTATGTGTATTTATGAGTGGGCATGTGTGTATGAGTTTGTGACTTTGTATGTTAATGTGTGGGTTTTGTGTTTGTGTGTTACATGTGTAGGTAAGAGTGTATGTTTACAACTGTGTTTGTGTGTGTTGTATGTATATCAGTATGTGTGTTTGCGTGTGTGTGTGTGTGTGTGTGTGTGTGTGTGTATGTGTGGCAGGGAAAGCATCTGTGCCATAGAAGTGACTCTGGCTGAGTCTTTGAATGCGCCATGGTGCAGTAGACTGAATTTCAAGTGACCAGCAGGAATTTTTAAATAGGGCGACCAGGTAATTTATGCAATTCAGAGTTCACCGCTGAGCAGTGTGGGGGGCAGATGGGAGCAGGGAAGGGCTGCAGGGAGGCCTGAGAGGAGAGGGTCATGGAGGTTTAGCCTTGGCCTCACAGCAGGGAGCCAGCTGCAGTCTTGAAAACAGTGACTAGAAACAGTGACTTGAGTCCCAAGCCTGGCATTCAGGTTCCATTCTGGCCTGTCTCATATAGCAGGAGGGAAGAGCCATCCAGTGGGAGGGCAGCAGAAGCCCTGGAAGGCCATGAGGCTGCTCACCACCCCGGCAGGGCTCTTCTGCTGCCGTGACCTGATGATGGGATGACTGGGCAGGCCCGCAGTCTGTGGCCTGATACTTCTCTGAAGAGTAAGTGGTGCTCTTGGACCTTCCAGCTTTTGGCCTGGACCCACTGATGGTGACTGGGGCCTAACCCTGCCTACTCCAGTGATTTCTGGAAATTTCCATAAATGACTTTTAGGATGCCATGGGTATAATACCTCTTTATTTGGATACTTCTTTATGCAAACCAAATGCACTTACGCATATTAATTAGCCACAGATAAAATTGGCTCTATGGCAGACAGGAGACCATCCCTGAGAGACCCAATTCTTGGAGTATGTTGCAAAGAAACGTGATGCCCACGGATGAACGAGTTCAGATAATCAGTGATTTTCTTTTCAGATTATTTAAAACTTTCTTTTTGTTGGAAGGATGGCTGAGAGTGAATTTGTAGGGAATTATACATGGTTAGTGGATAGAGCAGTAAGGAGGAGAACTGACATACAAATAAATCAGATTAAAAATTGGTTTCTGATGCCTGGGAGCCTGCCAGCTTTGAGTCACCAATGACTAATTGACTCCAACTAAAAAGATCCTTTAGATTCTTCTGCTTCAATCCTTTTCTCATGTCGTATATCCCATAATATGGCCAGACATAATAAAATCGAGTCCAAATCCCTTATTGTTGCAGATAGGAAAACTGAGACCCACAGAGGTCACATGCCTCTGGGGCTTACATAAAGTATTTGTGGCAAAGACTTGAACCTGGTTGTTAGCTACTGAGTCACAGCATTTAAACATTTTGATTTTGTTACCTCCTCATGAAAACCAGGTGCACACAGATATGTTTATGGGGCATATATACAATTGGATCTGTAGATGGACAGTGGTTTTGGTCTAAGAAAGACAGAAAGGGATATGGGATTGTCCTGCCAAACTTTGTATTTCAAAATAAGTAAATGCAAGTTCAATTTACAATACCTGCTTATTCTTTATTGCCTTGAGAATGGAATCGAAAGGGGGGAGAAATTTATATGAAGATAAATAAGGGTAAATTGAGTGAGATAGGATAAAAGGGAGAAGTAGGTCTATTCTCAAGGGGTCTGTGAGAGAATGAGACTTCTCTTGCTGCGTGTGTGATCATCGTTCATCTGTTCAAAGCCCTCATTAGCCCTATGCTTCAGTCACCATAGTAAGGGCCTCATATATATATATTTTAACCATGTGAGGTTGGTGTTATTATCCCATTTTAAAAAAAGAAAACTGGGCCGGGTGCAGTGTCTCACACCTGTAATCCCAGCACTTTGAAAGGCTGAGGCAGGATCCCTTGAGCCCAACCTGGGCAACATAGCAAAACCCCATCTCTACAAAAAATACAAAAATTAGCCAGGCATGGTGGTGAGTGCCTTCCAGCTACTTGCGAGGCTTGAGCCCAGGAGGTCGAGGCTGAAGTGAGCCATGATCATGCCACTGTACTCCAGTCTGGGCAACAGAGGGACACCCTATCTCAAAAAATAAACAAATAAACAAAAACAAAAATAAAAAAAGAAAACTAAGGCTTAGAGGCTTTTGTAATTTGCTGGAGATTACAAAGCTGGCAAGTGACAGATTCATTTTTGGAACTCATCATGTTGAAAGTCTTATGGATTAGAATTCTGCAAACTTCTTCCCTTAAGGACAGGGTTATACATTGGTTGCTTGAGAAGGAAAAGCATCTGTGCTTTTCTATGCTTGGAGTAGGGTTCACATTTTTCTCCTGCAGATGAGTAAGAATAGAGTTATCCCTTTGTAGAGACACCTAGCAGGTGGTTCACTGTGGGGAATGAGTTGACAGGTTCCCACCCCTGTCAAGGGTGTCAGCAGTGATCTGGGGTGAGAAAGGACCCCAGAGAGCAAAACTCTGTATGATGGCCCTGAATCTCATGCTGGGACCCAGCTTTTGGGCCAGCTAGTGACTGTGCCCCAGCCTAGCTAAACGGAGGCTGCAGGCTGTGAGCCGGGGCAGTTCTAGTGGGCTAACCGGGGTTGGGCTTTCCTTACAGCAGCAGCAGGTGGCTCTCAGTGTGGAAACAAAGCCATTCCTGAGCTTCTTGATGTCCTCTCCCTTTTGTTTCTCTGGGTCTTCCTTGAATACAATACCAATCCCAGCTCTTAGTGGATGCAGGAGAAAGGACCTTGCCCAGGAGGAGACTGGAGAAGCAGAGGCTGGGGTGGCCTGGTGGGCCCAGGAGCAGTCTTGTTTCCTTCTGGATGTGCCTTTGACCTATTGTGATATGGGCCTCTTTCCTGTGGTCCTTCTGGAGCTCCTTCCTCCCTTGCTTGTCTTCCTGGGCTACCTCAGGCTGAACGGGCAGGAGGTGGGACATGCCCACTGGGAATGTCCTAGGGAATGTCTTTCTTCTCGAACACCCATCTCTGGACCAGGGAACAGTGAGGTCATTTACAAATGTGAAGGACAGGGGTGGGCAATCTTTTATGGGAGGGGCCAGATAGCAAATGCTTTAGACTTTGCAGGTGGTATGATTTCTCTTTGTCACAGAGTGCAGTAGTGCGACAGCGTGAAGGCAGCCATAGACAATACATAATGAATGGGCAAGGTTGTGTTCTAATCAAACTTTATCAAGACAGGCAGGGGGCTGGATTGTGTTCCCTGAGCTGTCATTTGTTGACCTGGGTCAAGAAGGTGGAGCAGCCACATTTGGCACATGAATGTCATTGCCCACAGGGAAAAGATGTCTTATATAGACCTGGACTCCACAGGACCCCAAGGCAGAATTTGTACAGCCAAGAACTGTGTGTGCCAGCCTGTCCGTCAGCCCCACACAGCCCTGCAGGCAATGTCTGTCTGGACTGGAAGGCTGGGGAACCTTGTTTTAGGGCATCATATTTAAGAAGCCATGGTAGAAATGTGGGCTTGGACAGTATTAGTACGATGTCAGCTCATCCAGCTCATCCTCCAAGCTTGCCAGTTGGGGCTGGGCCAGGGCCAGGGCCATGTTCAAAGGCCGATAAACTTTTCAGAGACACATTTCACTGACAGAAACATCCCCAGCACATGCTGTTCTGATTCTGCCAGCCTCTCATGGTGCGCTGTGCGAAAATGTGAAGGGTTTGAATATGTTATGGGGCAGGGAAGTTTGAACACACGGAACGACCACAGGGAGGTTTGAGGCATGTGTCCTCATGGCTGGCAGGAGCCAGGGCAGACCAGATGCCCTAGGATGCAAGACGGAAGAGAATAGGTGCCGGGAAGAACAGCTGCAGCATGGTGAGTGGGTGGTGGAGGAAGAGCTTGTTTTTGGCTGGGACGCTGGCCTCCTGGAGGAGGTGGCAATTGTGGTGAGCCCTGAAGGAGGGGTCGCAGGTAGGGGTAATGAACATGGCCTGGGAGAGGGTGGGCATGCTTGGCTAGAGCCAGTGTTTTATTTGGCTTTGCGCTATGGGGCAGATCCTATTTTCCTGTATGATTCCAACAATATCTGCCATGCCACACACTTCTCTCCCCATCAAGAGGTAGCGTTGAATTCCCCTCCCTCTTAATTGTGAGCTGGTGACTTGTGTGCTGCCACTGGAGTCCTGCAGAAGTGACGCTGTGGCAGGACTTGCAAGGCTGGGGAAGTAAAGGAGTTGTAGTTTCCACTTTGAGAGCGGGAATTCTGGCACACAGAGGCCTGAGCCCCCACGTGAGAATCCCACCACCTGTGCCAGCTGGGCCCTGGGGAAGCCACACTGAGGAGCAGCCACATGTGGGGCTTTGGAGGGCAGTCCCAGGCCTAGTCATCCTCTCAGCCCGGGAGACTCCAGCAGCAGAAACCCATCAGAAGGTCTGCTGGAGGAAATGGCTTGCTTTAGGCTTTGCTTTCAGAAGAGGAATCGGTAGCAAAATCCAGGACAGAGTGGTGGGAGGGAGGGACCAGGAGACTGATGAAGAATGTTTTGGGCTGCTTTCCCTAGAAGTGATCTCAGTGAGCTGTGGCCATAGGCGTGGAAAGGAAGGGCCATTGCAAGAGATGCTGCTGTACAAAAACGACAGAGTTTTCTCCTCACCTCTGCAGCTCCCCGCCCAAATCCCACGTAACCCAAACCACACGATGTTCTTTGGAACCGGGCTGGCACGGTCTGCAAAAAGCAGGCCTTTCTGCTTCATTTAGGACTGTTGCTCCTCACGGACCATTAGGTTATGTGTATGAGTGGTTGGAGCCTCAGGAGCAGCTGAGTGGGTAACACAGGTGGTCATCAGACTTTGACATGTGAAGGACACCAGGACCAACTGCTGTGATGCATCTGGGAGGACAGGCAGGCAGCAGTCTCCTAAAGCACTGAAGTGAGATAGGCTGTATAGCCTACCCATGTGGACTGCTACTGTGGAGTTATTTCAGGGGCAAAGACCCATCCCTGCTGTGAATGTGTCTTCTCATGGGGCTCTGCCTTTTTTTTTAACTCACAGTCACATATGAAGTTTACTCTTTAGATGCTTTAGGGTTTTGAATTTATGATTCAAATGACTGATATAGGAGTCTTTCTTTTGTGAGAATTCTGAAGCCAAGAGGCCTGGGCCACATGAAGGTTTTGGGTGGAAGAGAAAAGGATGTAGAGGTGGAGGCTGGGAGCTGCAGTCCAAGCTCACTGACTGCAAGTCTGTGCTTAGGTCTGAGTTTACCCCTAGCTAGAGCTATTTGGCTGCTACACCAGCAGAAGCCATTGCTAATGGCCAGTGTTTATTGTGATTGGCTGAGGATCAGTTCTAACTTGTTGGGCGTCTATTCTGATAGGTTGAGTGTGTACTATAATTGGCTGGGCATTTGTTCCGATTTGCAGTTGTGAAGTGCATATAAGGAGGCTAGACTCCAGCTCCAGGAGTAATTCGTCAGCCCCAAGTGTTGAAGCAAACACTAGGTTGCCAATCCAGTCTTGTCACCTCCACAGAGTTCACAGAAGTCATGAGTCTTAGGTCTCAACAATACTACCTGCAAAACTTGTGAGCTCTTCATCACCCTTTCATTTTTAGAATTCTCTTCCTTTTTCTCATGGTCCTAGAAGGCATTTCCCCCTCCCTTCTCTTAGCATAACTGCTATGGTAGAGACTATGGGGCCCCACCTACGTCTTTTCAAGCCCTCATCCCTCCCAAGCCCATTGACTCAAAGCCCACTGGAAGCCCATGCCTACCTGCAGGCCACGTGGGCTCTTTGCCTTCCTCTGGCCTGCTCACAGCCAGACTGAAGGAGAGGGCAGTTGATGTCCTGCCAGGAGCAGTCTCAACAAATGCTAGGTAGCATTTGGTGGATAAATACCCCAGATCCTTTGCTTCTTGATTGGGATCACTCAGTGGCATTGTTTACACTGTCTCCAGGGGGTCCCAACAGGCTTGAGCCCCAGTTGCTCACACTGATAACCTGCCGTCTCCCTCTAGTCAGACCTTTCCTCATCTTCCTTCACTTCCCTACTTGCCACAGTGCCTCCTGACTTCACCTCCCAAATAATCTCTATGCACTGACATCCTTGTCCAGGAAGCTGTTTTGGAGGTTCCCAAACTCAGAGACACCTCTTCAAGGATGCCATGTTTCAGGTACACAAGAACAAATGGCATACAGGTAGCCCCTGATGTCTGCCCTATAATACAACCTTTCTCTGAAGTCAGGGACCAAGAAAAAGCTTTGCTGTTTCCATGGTTCTTAGAGGGGGAAAATACAATGAAAACAAAACAAACTAATAATGCAGCAGATGGCCCTGTTCCATCTGTTATTTCAGAATCACTAATGAAAGGTTAAAAAAATCTGTCCCTCCCCAGCTCTAACAACATTCTTCTGTGGTCACCAATTTATCCCATCTTTCAAAACATTGCTTTCTCAGCTACTAGTGTGAGGTTCTCAGTTCTTTGCATCCTTGGACAGAAACTCTTTCAAGCTCTGCTCCCTCTGAAGATCAGATGACATTAAAACAAGATCTAAGCATCTGCTATAAACACACCTTGGCAGGTGCCTCTGCCCCCCTAGTGTGGACCCCTCCCCCGTTGACATGCCTTTAACTGTGAGGAAAACAGTAAAACACTGAGCAATTGACAGGCCCTGTGGGGAGTGCTGCTTCCTGCTTTGTGGCATCTGCTTTTGACGAAGACAAAGGAGCTTATTTTCCCTTCAGTTCACCTCCCTGGCCTTTGAAGGCAGAACTGGAAGCGGCGAGGGTGGAAAAACTCCAAGGTCTGGAAAAACATGCAGATCAGAACCAGTCCCTCACTATTCATCTGGAAACCCTTTGAAAAATGGAATCCAACCATTTAGTAGGAATCTGATAGGACTTCCTTTGGACACTTCCCTTAAGGGGGTAACATGTCACATTAAGAATGGGGGTGCTGGTAACACAAAGGTTGTTCTTGTTGGGAGTCAGCGGCTGCCCTGGAGGGGTAATGGTGGGTGTGTGTCTACGTGCAGCTCCTTCGAGAGGCTTTCCTGACAACGGTTCTGAGACGGTTTCTCAGTTTTGCTCACTGTTGTATCTTTTTCATTGATTCCTATAGGCAAGCTCCTTCCCAAATCCCAAGGTAAATCGAGATTGAATACTTCTCACCTCTTCCTTCTCCTCTTATTTTCTTTCCCTCCCCTGCCTCCTTTCCTTTTCCATTTCCCTGTGTGTTAGTTTCAGATGGCTGCCATAACGGAGTACTACAGACTGGGTGGCTTGAACAACACAAATGACTTTCATCGCAGTTCTGGAGGCTGGAAGTCCACAATCAAGGAGCCGCATATTCGATTGCTGGTGAGGGCTGTCTTCCTGCCTTGCACACGGCTGCCATCTTGCTGTGTCCTCACATGCCTGTACAGCTCTGGGGTCTCTCTGTCCAAATTTCTTCTTCCTGGGAGGATTCCAGTCAAATTGTGTTACGGCCCACCAACATGATCTCATTTCACTTAAATTACCTCTTTAAAGGTCCTCTGTATAAACACAGTCAGATTCTAGGCACATAGGGTGGTGGTGGGGGCGATAATATACACATTTTGGGAAGAGGACACAATTTAACTCATAACACTCTCTTCTCCATGCTTATGCCCGGAAATGGTCTTGTTGACTCATGGTGCATGCATTCAAATCTTGGTTTTACCATTTGTAAGCTAAGACCTGGATAATCTGGTTTATCTCTGTGGCCTTCAGTTTTAGTATTTGTAAAATGGGAATACTCATGCTTGATGGTGTTGTAACATGATAGGGGATAATATATGTGGAGCCTGGTGCAGCAATCAGTCAGTGTGTGAAAGGTGCGTGTGAAATGTCAATTCCCTCTGTTCTCCTCCTTCCCTCTTGATGCATCCTGCTATTGTACAATTTTGCATAAAAATTACTTCCCCCACTCTTTAAATGCTTGATTTATGCTTTACTCTTTCTAAGAATTAATGCACAGTTGCCATTACAATCTAAGTTTTATTGAATAAAAATACATTTATTTTTATAATTTTAGTTTCAGTTTTCAAGATAATCTCCTAATCATCATTAACTATGAAATTTTGATCTCTGTTTTAAATGGATTCACTCTAAGTGGCTTTTTTTCCATTGCCAATTGTTCTTGGATAATGAGGACCTACTTTCTGAAGTATATTATTTAGAAGGATGATTGTAACTAACAGTTTAAAACAGAAACAGTTGCAAGGGCAGACACCTCTGTGGAATGAGTAGAGGGAGGAAGACATGATGGTACTTTTTATTTATTTTTTTATTAAGACAGAGTCTTGCTCTGTTGCCCAGGCTGGAGTGTTCGGCTCAGTGAGACCTCCGCCTCCCAGGCTCAAGTGATCTTCTCACCTCAGCCTCTTGACTAGCTGGGATTGTAGATGTGTGCCACCATGCCTGGCTAATTTTTGTGTGTGCATGTGGGGTTTTTTTGTACAGATGGAGTCTCACTTTGTTGCTCAGGCTGGTCTTAAGACTTCTGGGCTCAAGTGATCCTTCTACCTCGGCCTCTCAAAGTGCTGGGATTACAGGCATGAACCACTGTGCCCTGATTGCACACATTTCTGTATTGTTTGAATTTATTTCATTGTATTTTATTTTGCCGAGCATCCATGCTACATTCAAGATTGGATGTTTTGATTATTTGATAAAAATTTCTCAACGGTGTAATTGGTAAAAACGGCCATGAAGTGAGATCCAAGGTGGGTGCCCTTATATGAATTTCTGGCAGATACTGTTGGGGCCCTGTCTTTATCCCCTGAATACCTGCTATTCCTGCCCTTCTACTACGAGCATCTGCAATTCTCTGTCTGAGCTTTCTCTGGCTGCTAGAACCATGCATGGAGCAGGCCCAACGTGAAAGGCAGTCCATGCCCTGGGAAGAACCCTCAGCCATGTTGGAACGGGGCTGCAAGGCAAAGATCCCCACTTTCACTCTATGGCACTGTGCTCTACAGCATCCCCAAGAAGCCCCCAGCCAGAGTGAACCTCAGTGCTCACAGAGGCAATCTGCTCACCAACACATCCTCTTGGCATCCTTCCCTTCCCGGTCTCACTTCACCATTCCACTACTGGTGTTTCACACTCACACAGAGTTGCTTGGAACAGGTCACAATTCTTTCTCACTCACTGCCTGGAGGGGCTGGCACAGTGCACTTCTGTCTCCCTCACTTCTTTGTTGGAGGGGACCAGGAAAATGACAGCACAAGAGAAAAGGGCCAGAAGTCAGTCCCCTTTCGTTCTTTCCACTCCTGGGAGGGTCTAGAATCTACTGCTGCTGGTAGTGTAGCAGGAAAGGCCATAAACAAACCTCTCAAACACCGAACTGGGAAGGAAGTGGTGGTTTATTCAGTCGGGGGCTGGGTGATTTATTTGGCTGGGAGCTGAGAAGGGCCTGAATGCCCTAATAACCAAGCTCCTTGACAAAAAAAAAAAAAAAAATCCTTGCCCTTTTAAAGGCTTATAGTTCTAGAATTACATGTGAAAGGGTCTTATCCATGAAGTAGGCTTGGGGTACATGACTAGGTGGGGGTTTGATCATGTTTAAGCAAAAACAATGCTTTCTGGAAAGATTCCTCTATTCCATGCCTGCTATCTGTAGGGGTGCGATTAAGGGTGATGTGTGGTCTGCCGGCTTTTACCTCTCCTATTGAAACACAATTCGAAGGCTAGGGGGAAGTGGGCTTAGAAGCTTAAGAGGATTAAGGTAATTAAGGGTCTCCTTCCTCACTAGCACCCAAAAGCACAGAAATGCATGCTGGGAGACCCTTGGTCAGGTGCAATGCACGGGCATTTTGGCTTGTCCTCTAGAATGTGAATCTACAGCAAGACTGAGAATGGGCGACCAAACCTGCTTCCACATCAGATGCTGTTCTTGGTGGAAAGTTACCACCCAGCGTAGAAATGTCGCTCATGTTCTTTCAAAGCCCTTTGTAAATATGTGAAGAAAAGATAACATGTAAATTCAGCTACTCACACCCTGCCTTCCTAAGGAGGCATGGCTTTTAGATGTGAATAGCTTGATCTTGCTTGTTACTATTTTGACCAACACAATCCAGTCGAATTAACTTTGTACCAGTTTCTGGGTCCAGTCCTTAAGAGACTGCAAGTTGATCCGGGTGTGGTGGCACATGTGTTTAGTTCCAGCTACTCAGGAAGCTGAGGCAGAGTGATGGCTTGAGCCCAGGAGTTTGACATTGCAATGTGCCTTGCTTGTGCCTGTGAATCACCACTGAACTTTGGTCTGGGCTCCTGTGTCTCTTAAAAAAAAAAAGAGGAAGAGACACACTTACTATATGTCAATGATACCGATTTATTTAAGAGATCAAAGGAGCCTCTTTCCTAAAGCAAGGATTTAATATTTTCTATACTTCCATTCTTACATTTTCCATTGTAGAGTGACTCAGACCACACAGCTACACACAGTGGATTCTTACATACTCTTTCCACAGCATCCTTAGGGAGGGAATGAATGCTTTCATATTCTTCTCTGGGAATATGGGAGATGAAGGCCAAGGCAGCTGAAAGGCTGGACAAGTTGTGGAGGTGTGGATGAAGTGCAGGTGGCTGGCCTTGCGCTGGCGGCATTTGCCCTGTGGGTGATAGTGAGGAGCGGTCAGCATTGTGTCCAGGGGACAGCATCATCACCCCCTCCTTATTTGCATCACAGCCTTGGGAGGGATTATTCCCTTGAAAATTTTCCATGTTTGTTCTGCATTCAAAAGGAAGGGAAAAATACAATTCAATGAAAACATGTTTTCTGTTTTGCAGCTAGATGGGAGGATGATTGTGTGTGTATTTGTGTGTGTGTGTTGTTTAACATGAAGAAAAGAAAAAAGAATTTATCTTACTCATAGATAACAGAAGAACATCTGGGAACTACAAAGCAAAATCTTCCATATGTGAAATTCTGCATGAAGAAAAATGTGCCTGTACACTTTGAGAAAAGGAAGCACTGGTGTTTCTCAAACTTCTCAGGCCAACTGCCCAAGGGCTTCACGAGCATCTCAACCACTGAATGGGCTCTTCTGTGCTATGTATTTGGATGAAATGATGATGGGCTTCACAATAAAAATGGGCAGGATGGGGAAGAAGACCAGGCCATTTTTAGTTACCCCAGGGTCGTTGAAATGAGGCTAAGGTTTGGGAGAACCCGCCTGTCCCGGAGGTGGGGGTGGAGGCTCCAGCATCCTTTCCGGTCTCACTGGAGAGCTTTCCCACATTAGAAATTCCTCATCAGCCTCCTTACCTCTGAGAAGAAGGAATCGTGTTTGAAACTTAGAATTTTTGAAATTGGAACAGAGCTCTGCCCTCTCCTCATTGAATCCTAGTGGAGACCCTACAAGGTAGACTAGATGGGAATCATTGCTCTAATGTTCTAAATGAGGAGACAGACTGTCTTTAGGCCCCCTTCTCTTCTCTAGACTTCACTTCCTAGTTAATCCAATCCAATCCCGAACAGTGCAAGGAACCAAAGCCTTCAAGTTCAACCGCCTACTTCCTTTATTCATTTGCGTATCTCACCAGCAGCAGCTCAAACTTACCTCCGCCAACATCAAGTCCTTCCATTTGTTGTTTCTCCTTGGGCCTCCTCACTTCACTTAATGGCACCTTGTTCAAGTAAACATCCCAAAGCTCACTCGTGATTTCTTTCTTTCCTTTAACCCTACTCTCATGCTCATAGTCACATACCCAATTCATCAGCAAGGTGACTCAGAACCCCACTTTTCTGGATGCTCGTCACTTCTGCCCATCACCAGGCTACCATTCTCTTGCTGCGGGAGTATAGCTGGAGTTCTTGAGTTGGACTTATTGCTTTCACTCCATTCTCCAAAGTCACAGGAGACTTTAAGACATATAAATCAGGTGATGTCACTTTCCCTATGGCATCCCCCACCATCCTTTAGAATACAATTCCACCTGGGCCCACGCGGCCCTGATGGGTGAGGATGCGCTGCTTACCTCCTGCGTCCTCTCATGTCACCCCAGCAATTGTTCTTCCGCTCCTTATCCCTTTGTTCACTCCTTGCCCACCCTAATGCCCTTTGCTCTTAATTTTACTGCTCTCTTGCTCCTTCTCACCCTGAGATGCCTGCTTCCTCTCCACCCTCACCCATAAGTAAAGATTTCCTTCTCCCCAGAAGCTGAGCTGATGCTGGTGCCATCCAGTCCACAAGAGTCCCTGCTTTCCAGTGCTGTGTGTGTGTGTGTGTGTGTGTGTGTGTGTGCGCGCGCTCGCACGGAGACCAGGCTGTCGTCCACAGGCACAGAGATCCACCTTCCAAAGCTCCAAGGGAGTGGGAGAAGGAACAGAGGTATCACTGAGAAGCCAAGTACCCGGCCATCAGGGCCCTGATGCGGCCGGACCCGAGCCTCAAGTGGATGTTGCTGACGCTGGTGCTGGCGCAGCTGCTGGCCCGCTGGCTGGTGCGTGGGCTGGCCTGGCGCTGGCTGCTGTTCTGGGCCTACACTCTCGGCGGCTGCGTGAACCACTCGCTGACGCTAGCCATCCACGACATCTCACACAATGCAGCCTTTGGCACCGGTTTTGCCGTGCGCAACCGCTGGCTGGCCGTGTTTGCTAACCTGCTTGTGGGCGTGCCTTACGCCGCCTCCTTCAAGACCATGTGGACTACCACTGCTACCTGGGTGGCGACGGACTGGATGTGGATGTGCCCACGCGCCTGGAGGGCTGGTTCTTTAGCACGCCCTCCTGCAAGCTGCTCTGGCTGGTGCTGCAGCCCTTCTATTCGCTGCGGCCACTCTGTGTTCACTCCAGGGCCGTGACCCGCATAGAGGTGCTTAATTTGCTGGTGCAGCTGGTGGCTGACGTGGCCATCTTTGCCCTGTGGGGGCTCAAGCCCGTGGTCTACCTGCTGGCCAGCTCCTTCCTGGGCCTGGGCCTGCACCCCATCTCGGGCCACTTTGTGGCCGAGCACTACATGTTCCTCAAGGGCCACGAGACCTACTCCTACTACGGGCCCCTCAACTGGATCACCTTCAATGTGGGCTACCACATGGAGCACCACGACTTCCCCAGCATCCCAGGCTGCAAACTGCTCCTGGTGCGGAAGATTGCACCCGAGTACTACGACCACCTGCTGCAGCACTACTCCTGGGTGAGGGTGCTCTGGGATTTTGTGTTTCAGGACTCCCTGGGGCCCTATGTCAGGGTGAAGCCGGTGTACAGGCTTGCAAAGGATGGCCTGTGAGGCTGCCTCCTGCTGGTGGCCATCACCCCCCACCTGCCCCTCCAGCCTCTCACCCAGCTCTGAGGGGACGCATTTCCTTCCTGTGCCCTGGGCTGCTGCCCTTGTCCCCTTGGAGCATCCTGCACAGCACATCTGACCATAGTGATGTGGGCTGCAGGGCTCCATCTGCTTGTGGACTCACCCTGGACCCTGGCAGTGGCCCTCCGTTTCCGTCCCTTACCATGCAAGGCCTGGCCCTGTCCCATGGTGACCTGGGTGCTTTGAGCCCACAGTCCCCACAGAGCTGACCTCTCTGGGGTGCCTGTGCCGTCCATTAAACCAGGCATTTGTTTCACACACACACACACACACACACACACACACACACACACACAAAGACAAATAAACCTCTTTCCTTTATAAACTAAAAAATTATTGTGGTAAGATTATTTAATGTGATATCTGTCCTCTTAACCTACCTTACTGTACTACAGGTACAACGTTGCATAGCAGTTTGATGTAGTCCCACTTGTTTTTGTTGCCTGTGCTGTTGGTTTCATATTCATAAAATCATTGCCAAGACCAATGTCATAAAGCTTCCCGCTATGTTTTTTCATAGGAATTCTACAGTTACACTTCTTATGTTTATGTCTTTAATCCATTTTGAATTGATCTTTTTTTTTCCTTTGAATAAACAGGCTCTGTTACCCAGCCCGATGTGCAGTGGCATGATCATAGCTTACTGTAGTCTCAACTTCTGGGCTTGAGCAATCCTCCCAACTCAGCCTCCCAGGTAGCTAGGACTATAGGTGTGCATAATCATGCCTGAATAAATTTCAAATATTTTGTAGAGATGGGGTCTCGCTATGTTGCCTAGGGTGGCCTTGAAATTCCTGGGCTCAAGTGATCCTCCTGCTTCAGCCTCCCAAAAGCTCTGGGATTATAGGCATGAGCCATCACGCCCAGCCTGATCTTTGAATGTAAGGTCTTTGCGTATGGTACAATTTCATTATTTTTTTTGCATTGGACATCTGGTTTTGTTGAAGAAACCATTCTTTTCCCATTTTCTAATATTGGTACCCTTGCTAAAGGGTATTTATCTAAAAGTTAGTTGACCATATATGCATGGAGTTATTTCTGGACTGTTTATTCTGTTCTACTGGTTTATGTCTGTCTCATAGTAGTACCACGTGGTTTTGATTACTATAGCTTTGTAATATAATTTGGAATCAGGAAGTGTGATGCCTCCAGTTTTGTTCTTCTTTCTCAAGATTGATTTGGCCATTTGTGATCTTTCCTTTCTCCATATAAATTGTAAATTGTTTTCTCCATTTTTATAAAACAATGCCATTGAGATTATGATAGGGATTGCATTGAATCTCTAAGTTGCTTTGGGTAGTATGAACATTTTGACAATAGTAAGCCTTCCAATCTATAAACACAAGATGTTTATATTCTTTTCGTTGCTATTGTAAATTGTATTGTTTTCCAAATTTCCTTTCAGGTAGTTTGTTAGTATATATAAATAGAACTTATTTTTGTATGCTGATTTTATACTTGCAACTTTAGTTAATTTATATATGAGTTCTAACAGTTTTTTAATGAAGTCTTGAGGGTTTTCTATACATAAGATCCTGTCATCTGCAAATGGGGGTAATTTTACTTCTTCCTTTCTGATTTGAAAGCCTTTTATTTCTTTTTCTTACCTAATTTCTCTGTCTAGAACTTCCAGTATTATGTTAAATAGAAGTAGTGGAGACTGAGCATTTTTGCTTTTTTCCTTATCTTAAAGAAAAAACTTCCAGTTTTTCATCATGGAATATGATATTAGTTGTGGAATTTTCAAATATGGCTTTTATTATGTTGATATACCTTCCTTCAATTCTTAATTTGTTGAGAGACTTTATTATGAAAAATTGTTGAATAACATCAAAGATTTTTTTCTGCATCTATTGAGATGATTATGCAAATTTTTGTCATTATTCTGTTAGTGTGGTGCATCATGTAATTGATTTTCATATGTTAAACCATCCTTTCATCCCAGGGGAAATTTCTACTTGGTGTATGAACCTTTTAATGTGTTGCTGGATTTGGTTTGCTGGTATTTTGTTGAGGATTTTTGCATGTATGTTCTTCAGAGATATTGATTTGTAGTTTTCTTTTCTTGTGGTATCTTTCCTGGCTTTGATTTTAGGGTAAAGCTGACTTCATAAAATGAGGTTGGAAGTGTTCCTCCCTCTTCAATTATTTGAAAGGCTTTGAGAAAAATCGGCATCAATTCTTATTTAAATGTTTGGTAGCATTAACTAGTGAAGGGATCTGGTTGGGGTTTTTCTTTGTTGAGAGATTTTTGATTATTGATTCAATCTTCATATTAGACATAGTTCTGTTCACACTTTCTGCTCACTATTTCTTCATGGTTTAGTCTTGGTGGGTAGTATGTTTTTAGAAATTTATTCATTCTTCTAGGTTATTCAGTTTGTTGGTGTATATTTGTTCATAGCAGTATCTTATTATTCTTTTATTTCTGTTGTATTAGTTGTAATGTCTCCTCTTTCATTTCTAATTTTATTTATTTCTCTCTATTTTCCTGAATTAGTTTAGCTAAGTGTTTGTCAGTTTTATTTTTTCAAAAAACCAACTCAGTTTTATTCATCTTTTAAATTTATCTATTGTTTTCTATTTTGTTTATTCTAGTCTTTTTAGTAGTTCTTTAAGAGATAAAATTAGGATACTTATTTGAGATATTCTCTTTTAATGCAGGCATTTATTCCAATAAACTTCCCACTTAGTACTGCTTTTGCTGTATCCTAGGTATTTTGCATTTTTGTCTTCATTTTTCTCAAGATATTTTCTGATTTCCTTTTACATTTCTTCATTGACCCAATGGTTATTAGTGATTTGTTTAATTTCTATGTATTTATAGATTTTTTCAGTTTTCTTTCTGCTATTGATTTCTAGTTTTCTCCATTATGCTCGGTAAAGATACATGGTATAATTTCAATCTTCTTCTTCTTCTTTTCCTCCTTCTCCTTCTTCCTCTCCTCTCTCTCCCCCTCCTCCTCCTTCTTGTTCTTCCTCTTCCTCTTCTCCCTTTCCTCCCCCTCTCCCTCCTCCTCCCTCTCCCTCTCTCCTCTTCCTGCATCTTCTTCTTTTTCTCCTCCTCCCTATCCTACCTTCCTCCTCCCCTTCCTCCTCCCTCTCCTCCCCCAACTCCTCTTCCTTCTCTCTCTTCCTCTTCTTTCTTCTGCCTCTTCCTTCTTCTTCCTCCTCGTCCTTCTTCTTCCTCCTTCTTCTCCTCTTTCTTTCTTATTTCTTCTTTCTTTCATTGAGATGGGGGGGTCTCACTATGTTGTCCATGCTGGTCTCCAACTCCTGACCTCAAGTAATTCTCCTGCACTGGCCTCCCAAAGTGCTGAGATTGCTGAGATTACAGGCATGAACCACCATGCCTGGCCTCAATCTTCTTAAATTTGTGAATATTTGTTTTGTGACCTACCTATCATGTGATCTATCCTGGAGAAACTTCTGCATGAGCTGGAAGAATGTATATTCTGTTGTTTTTGGGTGGAATATTCTGGATGTTTATTGGGTCCATTTGGTCTGTAATGTTGAGGTCTGCTGTTTTCTTATTGATTTACTGACTTGATGTTCTATCAAAAATATCATTGAAAGTAGGATATTTAAATCTCCTAGAATTATTGTATCTACTTCTCCCTTCAGTTCTGTCTGTGTTTGCTTTATATATCATGTGTTCTGATGTTGTGTGCATGTGTATTTATAACTGTTATATCTTCCTGGTGGATTAATTCTTTTATCATTGTATAATGTTCTTCATTATCTGTTGTGACAATTTTTGACTTAAAGTCTTTTGTGTTTGACATAAATATAGCTACTCCTGCTCTGTTTTGTTTATTTGCAGCATAGAATATCTTTTTTATCCCTTCACATTCAGCCTGTGTGTCCTTATATCCAAAGTGAATTTCTTGTAGACAACAAGTAGTTGGGTCTTTAAAAAAATTCATTCAGCCACTATATCATTTGATTGAAGAGTTTAATCTGTTTCGATTTAAAGTAATTATTGATAAGAATGAATTTATTCTTGCCATTTTGTGATTTGTTTTCTGTCTTGTAGTTCTTTTGTCTTTCAATTGGTTTCTGGGTTTCTCATGAAGGGAACTTGTTTGCTAATTTTGTTGATTCAGTATGTTAGTAGAGGAAGGAGGCTCCCGGGCTTCCTACTTCACAGTCTTGATGTCATTCGATGTCTTCTCTTTCTGCTTTTCTGCCTAGACCCTCTCACTCCCAATCCCGAGTTCTTTGCAGGGTTGGCACTACTAAGTCTTATTTCAAATATGATGTCCTTGGATCTTCTGGCCATCCAATCCCTGTGCTTACCTCACTACATTCACTTATCCACCTCAAGTGGGCTTCTTAACTAAAACGTAAGTCAGTGTCATGAGCAGGGGTTTTGCTTGTTGAGCTCTGCATTCCTAGACCCTATCAGGGAGCCTGAACATTGAAGATGCTCAATTAATACCTGTTGAAAGATGAATGAAAAGAGGCCACTGCCCTTTCTGTGATGCCATACAGAAGACATCTGTAGGCTCTACTTGATTTTGGCCAGAGAGTACTTGGGTCAGAGATGGAGCCAGGAGTTCCCTTGGGGTAGCATGTTGGAAGAAAGACCTTAGAGCCAGAAGTTCTTGGTTTAAATGCTGGCTCTACCGCTGATCCCTTGCACGAGCCACTTATTTTCTTTGAGCTGCAGTTTCTTCATCTACCCAGTGCAGTTAATAATGCTTTATTTTAGCCAATTGTTGTGTAGATTAAGGAAAGTCACACATGTGACAGTCCTGGGTCTACAACAAATGGCCGTGGTACATTTTCTGTCTCCTGCTTAGCTTCTTTGGTCAGAACACAAACCATGAATTTAATGTCTGAGAAAGTGATTGCAATTGCTTCTTGGTCTCAGAGTTACCCTGCTTATCATCCTTGTTTAAAAGTCACCTGGAACTGCATTTTGTAAGATAAGAGCTCTAAATAATAACATAGGTAACCATGGTATTAACCATGCTGCTGTTTGGGTAGTGAACGAGATGGGGTTTTACCAGAGGAAAGAGAGAAATGAAAGTGGCATTTATTAGGGAGCTATAGCTTTCAGTTGGCC